CCTGGCTGTGCACCCCAGCACCACAGTAGGAGCTAGGCACAGAGAAGTTGCCAGGGCCCTGTGTGCTGAATTGAACTGAATAGGCTTGTGGCTCTCGTGACCCTGTATCTCAGGCCTCACTTTTCATCCTGCTTAGTGGAGCGGGGAAGCACTTGGGCTCTGCAGGCGCTGCGACCTCGGTTCAAATTCTGACACCACTATCTACTAGCCGTGTGGGCTTAGGGGCAGGTCACTCCATCTCCCTAAGCCTCAATTTCCCCATCCATGATTATAATCCTATCCCTTAGGGTTAAAATTAGTACTCAGTTGGAGATAAATGTGCTAAATTAGATAGTAAGTATAAAGCACTTAACACAGTGCCTGGCAAATAGTAAGTGTTCAAGAAAAGATAGCTACATACATGTTTTATTCCTAGAGCATCTATATACTGTATCTTCTAAACCAGGACACTTTTGGGGATGAAAAGGGGAGCTATTAATAATTATGCCAGGATGACAGGCATAAACCCGGGCAGGACCAGGCAAACTTGGACATATGGTGACCCTGTTTATCCCCACCATCCACTCTGAGCTCCCTGGCACAGGGACCAGGTCACCTTCATCTCAGAACCTTTCTACTGCAACCTGCCTCTGCCTCAGCCCACACTACCCTGGCTGAGAACCTCAGGGGCTTCTCCCTCCCAGGGTAGGGCAACACGGGGACTGCAGCCTGCCTGGAGTGGGGCCATGCTCTGAAGCCTGGAAGGAGCAGCCAGCCCCTCTCCTGGCCCCTAGCTGGGGCCCCAGGCCAGATTCCTCCCACATCCCCACAGACCCAGGATCCCTGTAGTGACCCCAAGAGACCTACCGTGAGGGGCTGAGCAGACAGGGACCGACTGCCCTGGCTCTTCCTCGGGAGCAGGAGGGTGTCTGGTGTGGTCTGTGGTCAGTGTGAACCCAGAAGCCCCAGGGCTGATCAAAGTTCCAGGCAGTGGTTCCTCCCCTCACGTGACCTGAGTGTTCCCGGAATGTCACCAAGGTCACAGGATGGGAGGAGAGAATCTGGGGCAAGGCCTCTGAAAATTACAAAATGACTCTGAACTGTTCCCATGGACAGATCCCCAGTGGGGCCAAAATCCAGCTAAGGTCACGGTCTTGGCACCTTTAGGACCCCAAGGGCATCCATCAGGTCCTAGAAAGTTCCTAGTAGGCTGTTCCTGGGGTGAAGACTGGGACCAGGGGTCCACGCTCCCACCCTCTCCCTATGAAAGGCCAGGCTGGTTCCCAGGAGCTGGACCTTAGCTGGGCAGCCACCCATAGGCCCCTGCTTGGCTCTCAAGGCCAGGAGAAATTCTGGAAGGGTGTGGGCTTATTATTTTGTTTTACTTGTTTGTTTATTTAGTGAACTAACTTTCTGAACCCTTTCTGAGTTAAAAGGGGGAAAAGATACAGGGAGGTGAGTTTGGGCCCAATATAGAGAGGAACGCTGTCCCCCCAGGGCCATCCCCAGATAAAAGAAGCTGCTGTGGGAGGTGGTGATTTTCCTGTCTCTGAGGATGTTTGACGAGGGGCTGCAGAATGTGCATGGTGTGTGTGTGTGTGTGTGTAGGTGAGTGTGTATGTTTTCAGGGATACAAGGTGGAAGGATGACCTAGATAAGCCATCTAAGACCATTTTCAACGCCCAGAGTCTACCATTCAAAGTCTGATGGCTTTTAAACTCGTTGCATGGTGTTAATATTTATCTCATGCTTTTTCAAGTCCAAACTAATAATTCTTTTGCATATGAGCAGACTTCATCAGCCAAATTGCAGAGGTCTGATAGAGTGTAGTGAAGAAGAATTTTTCAATGGAAACATATGACAAATCCACCCTTTGGCAGAGAAGAGTGGGATCATGTAAGAGGGGAGAAAGGCTATGAACAACATGCTCCCGGCCCCACCCTCAGGAGCACCCAGGCTGGCAGGGGCAGGATGGCAGATTCGAGGACTGGCTGGTGGGGAGGTGGCGTACCTCTGCAGGAGACTCAACCAGGCTGGGGGAACAGCCCCATCTGCCCTGTGCTCTGAACAGGTTCTTAAGGCACCAACACTCACCTCCAGAAAGAGATCTTGTCTGTCAGTCAATGTCACGGTGCACAAGAGAAATTTGGCATTCAACAGATCCGGGTTTGAATCCTGGCTCTTCGACTTGCTAGCAAATTATTTCATCTATACAAGACTCTGCATTCTCATCTGCGGCATGGGTGTGACAGAGTGCCTGGGGAGGTACGTATGTGTGTGTGTGTTCCTGCATACAGATGTAAAATCACACTGCAGATATTTGCAGCTGGAAGGACTCTGGGCTTATGTGTGCACGTGTGGAGGGGAGGTTCGCATTAAAAACTCCAGGGATCTTCTGGGAGATGGGATGAAGACTCCAACTCCTTTCCCCATTATCCAAAATTCCAGCAACTGTCTGAGTGGACAGGGTCAGTGAGTAGGGAGGGACAACAAGGCCCCGCCCCAGTCATTGAAGCTGGAGTCCAGCTGTGATATAGTGAACACACTATTGACCAATGTCCAGGGCCAGCCTCCTGGGAAGGGCTTACACCTGGCAGAAGGGACCTAAGAGCTAAAAGAGCCCACAAAAATATGGTTTGAAGCCCCTTTACTGGGCATAGCAGTGGGATAAAGGGACAGTAGAGGAAATCACCCCTCTCTTAAGCACTGGACCTGCGCCAGCAGCCGTGGCAGCTCCTGGACCCTGGAGACCTGAAAGAGCCCTGGGGACACCTGGACACCTGGAGGGTGTCACCTTCACTCAGATGGCATCTTCTGAGAGCCTGTGACTCACTGAGCCTGGTGCTAACCAGTAATAGGAGTCCAGAGGTGTGCAGGATGGCCCTACCCACCTAAGCCTGTGTGTATGTGTGTGTGTGTGCGTGCCTGTGCGTGCACGTGCACGTTAAATGAATGCCAAGTGAACTTCATAGTGACATAGAAGAAACCCCAGCCTGGGAGTCCAGAGGCCTGGCTGTAGTGCAAGCTCAGCCACTAGCTCACTAGGAGACTCTGGGAAATTCATTTCCTGTCTCCATCTCACTTTCTTCATGTAAAAACTGGGTTGAACCTATTCTTAAGGCCCCTTCCAGCCACAATGGCCTATAGACATCATCTGTTATTTCATTTTTGGTCCCCACTCACTCTCCAAAGTCCTTTTCCCAGCCTGGAATCTTTACTCTGTGAGGGATTGTCCGTGTCAACCTTGCACGCATGTGACAAGAGTCGAATCAACAGGTGTGAGATCCCCTAGCTAAGACGTCCAGAGAGAGCACATACGTCCTGTGTATACCATTTATTGTTGATTCTGTACACCAAATTTGTTATAAGCAGCATCCAGCAAAGACGGGCCCCCAACCCTGCCCACCAGGGCTCACACTCTATAAAACCCCAGGGGCCTAGAAGTTTCTAAATGCATCACCAAGCACCTGGGACTATTTGCAATGATTCTCTAAGCGAGGCAAACGTGATCTACTTTTGCAGGCAGCATGAAGGCAATGGGTTGGTGAGAACAATCCTTCCTTAGGTGAAGGAGGAAGCTTGGACTGGAAGGAGTTTGGCCTGGAGGAGTGTCTGCCCACCCTCTCTGAACCACAGCGATGGCTTCCTCCCCAAGACCACCAGCGCAACAACCCAGATTCAGTTCTGACTGTGGGATCCGTGGGCTGAATTCTTTGAGTGGTTTATAGCTAAAGCCTAGGATACAGCCAATGTCTGTTTACCAACTCTAGTTATCTAGTTAGCTCTAGCTGTCTGCTCTCCATAAGCTTCCTGAGTTTGGAAATAGATTCCTAAAACTGCATTACACTATCTGAAAGGTTGTGGAAATTGTGTTGTTGCCCGTGAAGAGTTCTGAGAAATATGTTGTGCCTTTAAATTCTAAAGGGGAGGAACAATATATACACTGCCCAACAATTTCCATGAGGGGCCAGTTTTTCTTTAAGGGATGGGTGAGTTTAATTTTTTCCTGTATATATAAAGCTTTCGACTCACACAGTACCAAGTGGGGTTCCACTGGCTGAGAGGAACAATAAGAGTGACTCCCATTTTCTTTGGTTTAGTGATGAAAGCCCAAGACAGGCCATGAAAGTCTTCAGTCTTCACAAGTCTGAAGAGAGAAGGAAAACCCACAGCCTGAATACATCGAGCATTGAATAACATTGCAGAAGAACAAGAGGTTCTAGACTCTGTCACAAGGGTATGATGGTAGTGTTCATGCCCAGCGCATTGTGAGGGTTAAAAAGAAAAGGCCTGTGAAGCGCTTTAAAGGTACCTATGCACAGTGAGCATTTTTGGAAGACAGTGGTTCTAATTGGCTTTTATTATCTTTCTTCCAACATTGACCCTCCACACCATATGGAGGCTGCTGGGACTGGCAAGGTGACCTACAGGTCAGGGAGCAAACGGGAAAGGTAAAGTGAACTCTGTGCCCTACCTCAACTTTTTGGGGGCCAAGTGGTTCACTCCACCCCTGAGAAGTGAGCAAATGCATCGTCCAGTTGGAAAGTAAATTCCACCCAACTTTTCTGGCAGCTCCCTGACCGGACAATATGGTTCCGAGAGGCCAAAAGGCCTGCCCAGGAGGAGAAGGCCCGAAGGCTCCATCCAATCCACTCTGACGGGAGGAAAAAACGGGCAAGCTCAGAAGGGTCCACCAACCCACCTGGGTGCTCCTGCTGGCGTCATCTGAGGACAGCTGCCCTCAGGCCAGCCTTTGGCCTGGGGACATGTTGATATTCTGGGCCGGAGAGGAAGCTACTCCAGTGTCACGGCCAATGCCGGAAATACCCATGGGTTCTAGGTTCACATTGGCAGGGCACTCTGGATGAAGAGGACTCCCTCCTCACTTCTCTGCCATCTGTGGCCCACTTGTGCCCTTGCACAATGAGACGTTGGGGCTGACTCATAAGAAGCACCTTGAGGAATGCAGTGCCAAACCATGCTTCCTGTCTGGAGGAAAGCAGGCCAAGCTTCCCCTTTTGGCCCCAGGATCAATATGGCAGGCCACCATCAGTGGTACAATGCTCATGCCCCAAGCCCTGGGCTTACTTCCTTTTGGGCCCTCTCAAGCCTTGGTACATGTCCACCAGTTGCTAAAAATATTTGGAAAACATTTGGAGACCCAGATTTACCCTAGAAAGATGACGTCTTTTGCCTCTGACAGGCCCCATCTCTCCTAGACTCCTGGGACAGAGAGGGAAAAGCTACAAAGTGCACTAATTCTCACACGTCACTTCCTGGACGCTTTTTGTTGGGGACCTGTCACCATCATGCTGCTAAGGCCCCAGGGAATTTCTTATTTGTCTTGTGGGGCAGAGGGAACTAGTAGGAGCCAGTCAGGATTGATGGTGGATTTCCAAATCCTTATAGCATTGGCTACAGCTCTTTCCTGGGCAGACATGGACACCTACAATTCTCCGTTTCACTACTTTTACTTCTAAAGTGGTAGGCCAGTTGTCCAGAGAAAGATGCATTTCCATGAGCATAATTTTTTATCTGTGTGAATATGTGTGTTGGGCAGCAAGGGCAGGTATTTGTGTGAATGTAACTCAAGGAGAATAACCCTGGACCAAACTACTCAACTCTTACAACCAGACCACAGGCAGGAGGAGCTCCAGAGAGCCCCTGACCCAGTGTGACCTACCATGTACCCTGATGTTGCCTGCTGTACGTGAGAATTCTGCAGTTCAGTTTCTAGCTGACTGTAGTGTTGATGGAGAATTTTACCACGACATTAGAGGGATTGCTGGGTTCCATTACACTTGGCTGTTCAATTAAAGGATCTCATCTCTGAGCTATTTAACTTCCCCCAAATGGAGAGTGAAAATTAAAAACAGATATAGGCATATCATGCCCATAAAAGGCCCAGGCAGAGGGATCTCCAATGAGCAGCAGACAGCATGTCAGCAGGGAAGAGTGTGTGGTTGCATTGGCCTCTGTAGTCGAGATCATTCTGACCTGGCCAGTCTGGGTGCCTCAGGGTCTGGGAATTTAGTAAAATCTCCTGTCCAGGCCTGAGTGTACCCACATCTTCTCCTCCAGCCCTGGCAGCTGGGACTTTGTAAGGGCTAGCTTGGGGGGTCACTGGGGGGGCCCGCCCTGGCTCACGGGGAGCCAGTTCCCAGGTAAGTCCATGCCATTTCCACAAGCCCCAGTCTTCTCCAATAACAGCCCATGATGGAGGATACTAGTGATGTCCTTCTCTTGATCTGGATGCTGATCACATGGGTGTGCACAGTTTGTGAAAATCCATCGCACTCTACATTACCATGCTCCCACTTTTCTGTATGTATGTTATACTTCAATAAAAAGTTAAAAGAGAAAAATCCTAGGGGTGAACACAAGGACCCCCAAGTACCAGGCTCCTTTCTCCACCGAGTACCAATAAGCTGATCTTAATGTCTTTAGGGGTCAGAAATTCAACACTATTCTATTCCTTAAAGGACTAAAATTTTCAAAGCAAAGTTTGCAGTTGGGAAATCACATTCTGTAAAAGGCTGAATGTGTTGCACTGGGGCCTTTCTTCCTTTTCCAGATGAAAAGCACAAGAGAGACAGGGAGGATGGCTCTGTCTCCAGGAACTGAGTGGCATCGTTCTTCCTTCTCTCTTTCATAGCAACCTGAAAGCCGGGCACTTGGCAGTTCTTAAGAAACCAGCTAAATGGGTTGAAGCCTTCTTTGAGGAGAGAACTCCCCCTGCCTTCAGGAGTGGAAAATCGAGAGAGACTTTTCATTTGAGGGGACAGGGTAGAGCCACGCCACAAACGAGAGGAGCAAAAGAAGAGAAATCAGCTTACATAATACTCGGGAGATGGGCGGTCCCAGCGGAGAATTATTGCCACAAAGTGCGCAGGCGTGTAATAATTGAGTCTACAGAGGCCAGCAGGGGTGCGGGCCCAGGGAAGGCTATTCCTGGAGGAGAGATGGTGAGACTTTGGAGGAGGAGCTTTCCTGAAGGAAGCCCAGGGATGTGAATTGGAAACCCCACAGGGTTTTTGCCATGGCCAGTTGAACATCCCTGGCGGTAAGAAGGTCCTGCAAGAGCTGGTTCTCCCGTTGAAACAGGAGAACCAGGCAGGTCAGCAAAGGGTAGCGGCACCTTTCTCTTGGGGACTAGAGACAGGGAGCAGGGGATGGCTCTGTGGACCCAGAGGTGTAGGCGGAATGACAAAAGTCCCCGATCCTCCGGTGGTCCCACTATTCCCCAGCCCTGCCTCCAGCCTGCCTCTTTAACACTCATTAGGTGCCTTCATCTGCATCAGGACTGCATGGCTCTTCTTCTTGCAGCAGCAACAGCAGATGCAGGCAGCCAGGGAGCAGGCCAGGGCAATGATGCCAATGACAATGGCAGCAATGGCCAGCCCGCTCTGGGCCTGGGTCATGCCCAACGTGCTGTGGGCATTGGTGGTCACGATGGTGTTCAGATCGGTATAGTCCACGGGGCTGATGAACTCAGTGGTGGAGGAGATAGAGGTGGTGTCAGGGTAGCTGGACGTGTCTGGGTACCGTGGCGTTTCTGGCTTGCTGGGCACATCGGTGATCTCTGGCACCTGGACACTAGGGAAAGCAGCATTGATGTTGATGATGATGAGGGACTGGCCTCGGACATTGGCTGGGCTGAAACACACTGGGAGGGTGTCTATCCTCAACCTGGGCTTGTTGAGCAGGAGCCAGTTGTGGAGCGGAAGGATGTCTGAGTCACACCTCCAGGGGTTGTCATAGAGCTGCAGCTCACACAGGTTCCCCAGGTGGTCAAAGATGCCCATGGGCAGGTTCTCCAGCTGGTTGTTCTGCAGCTGGATGGTCATGAGGCCGTTGACGTTGGCGAAGATATTCCCTGGGAGCTGTCTGAGGCGGTTGTTCTGCAGGGAGATGTTCTGCAGGTTGGCCAACATGCGGAAGACATGCCCGTCCAGCTCCTGCAGTGCGTTGGTGTGGAGGGACAGCTCCCGCAGCTCCGTCAGCCCGTTGAAGGCGCCCGGGGAGATGAAGCTGATCTGGTTGCGGCTGAGGACCAAGACCTGCAACTGGTGGAGGCTGCTGAAGACGTTGTCGGGTAGAGAAGTGATGTGGTTGTCATAGAGCCAGAGCTCGCGCAGGTTGTACATGGGCCCAAAGATCCCCGGAGAGAGCTCCTTCAGGGAATTCCCAAAGAGTGTGAGACGGTTGAGCTGGGGCAGCTGCGTGAAGATGCCGAGGGGCAGCTGGGAGATGTGGTTGTTGGACAGATAGAGTTTCTGGAGGTTACGGTTGTTGTGGAAGAGGCCAGGGGAGAGCATACCAATCTGGTTCTGCTGCAGGGCCAGCTCCTGGAGGTTGCCAAGCCCATCAAAGGTGCCCATAGGGATGTCCGAGAGCCTGTTCTCATATAGCCGGAGGACCTGGAGGTTGCCCAGGTGCTGGAAGACCCTGGGTGAGAGGTGGGTGAGGCTGTTCTTGCCCAGATTGAGCTTGGTGAGGCCCACCAGGTGGTCGAAGACGCCGTCGGGGATGTACTCCAAGTGGTTGCCGTGCAGCTGCAGCTCCTTGAGGTTGCTGAACTGGGAGAAGTGCGCTGGCTGGATCTGTACCAGCTGGTTGCTGGACAGAAGGAGCGACTCGAGGTTATCCAGGCCCTGGAAGAGGCCGATAGGCAGAACTTGAAGCTTGTTGTTGGCAAGGCTGAGGTACCGCAGCGAGCCCAGGTTGCGGAAGGCACCAGGCATGATGTGGGACAGCTCATTCTTCTCAATCCGCAGAGCAATGAGGGCCGAGATATTGAGGAATGGGGACTCACTGAGTTCGGTGATGTGCGTGTTGAGGATCTGCAGGCTCATGGCGTTCCAGGGCAGGGGGGTGGGCACTGCCACAATGCGCGCCCCGGTGCACTCCACCTGGGAGGCCCTGGAGCAGGTGCACTCACTAGGGCAGCCATAGTAGGCCAAGCCTGCACCCCAGGCTTGGAAGCCCACCAGCAAAAGGAGATAATGTTTCAATGGCATGGCCTCTGCAAGGGGAGAGAGCACACATGAGTCAGAGTCATCTCAGCAACACTGCAGCTGTTTTTAAGCCAACGTTAACCTTTGGTGCCAAACACTGTCTTGCCTTTGAACCCCATCACCACATACGCCACTTATGCACCCTATGGTCTGGTCGGCAAGCCTCTTCGTCGTGACCCAGGCCTTCCTACTTCCATGCCTTTGCCCAAGCACTTCCCCCTCACCTGGAGTGCTCTTCGTCCTCATCCAAATCTTCCCCATACTTCCAAGTCTAGCTCAAATGCAGTCGCCTCTAGGAAGCTTTCCCAGATTCCATGAGTCAGCATTGGTTACCGTCCCAATGGGGGGGTCTTCCCAACCCCCATTGTGGCCATGCCACAGCTGGCCCCGTATGGCATTCACTGTATTCCCATCTGTTTCCTTCACTAGTTAACAAGCTTTCCAAGGGCATTAAGGACTTGAATAAGTATGTAGAACGGTGGAGAAAAGAAAGAATAACTTGGCCAATGGAGTCTAGAGGCAAAGGAATGGGGCCAGATTAAGCTATGGACACATCTAAAAGGACGAACTCGTCTAGACAAATGTCAGGTCCAGAAGATGAGAGCAGAAAATGAACAACCTCGACAGGGGGCACAGAGAAAGTGACTCAACATCCCCGCCAGGAGAAAGACTTAGGGCTTTTTATTGATGGTAACAAAGGAAGGAGACTGTCCACAAAAGCTAATGTGATCTTAGACTGCATTAATAGAAACATTAAGTGTGGAACAAAGGAGGTGATGGTCTTACTCTACACTGCCCTGATCAGGCCACACCTGTAGTGCTGTGCTCAGTTCCACCCTGAACTTCAAGAAGGCCAATGACAAACTTGTCTCTTGAAGGCCTTCTGGAGAAGAAGAGGATAGTGAGGGGACCCAGAAACCACAACATCTGAGTATCCATTGAAGGAACTAGGGATGAGTAGATGGAAGGAGAGAAGATGCGAGGAGCCTATAAGCACTTTCCTAGTAGACACGAAGGGCTGCCCTGGGATAAAGAAAACAGTGTGGCTCCAGAAGTCAAAACTAGTGTGCAGAAGCTATGGGGTAGCAGATTTCAGTTCACCACCAAAGAGAGCTTGTCCAAATCAGAATGGACAACCCCACAGAGGCAGTAAGCTCCCTGTCACTGGGAGTGTTCAAGCCGAGGCTGAGCAACTGCTTGGTAAGGAAGCTGGAGAGAAGATTCCTACAACTGGTAGGGTACTGAACTAGATAAAAGCTGTCCATCCCCAAGACTTTAGGATTCTAAGGCTGAGTCCTAGAGCAAGGATATGAGCTCCATCTACCAGGACAACCGTGCCTGTGCTCCCAGGGGTCTGTGCAGACAGGTGTGGGTCTTTGCCCGTTGGTATGAGTGTGAGAGATTTACCCTCTGGACTGACTTACAAAAGGTGAAGCTCTGATTGTTCTTGGTGATGTCCTCGCTAGTACTTCTTTCTTTCTTTATTTGAGGAAGATCATCCCTGAGCTAACATCTGTTGCCAATCCTCCTCTTTTTTGCTGAGGAAGACTGGCCCTGGGCTAACATCTGTGCCCATGTGCCTCTACTTTATATGGGACGCCACCACAGCATGGCTTGATAAGCGGTGCCTTAGTCCGCACCCAGGATCTGAACCTGCGAACCCCGGGGCCGCTGAAGCAGAGCGTGTGAACTTAACCGCAATGCCACAGGGCCGGCCCTAGTACTTCTTTATTTTTAGTGTCTACTCCTATGACCAGCATGCTTCAACATGGCGTTGTAGCCCAAGTATCAGAGACTAACTTAAGTGCCCATAACCTGGCAAGCCCGGGGCCGTCTCTGTTGAGTTTCCCCATCTGCAAATGAGGACGTGGGACAAGGTACCCTTTGAGGACCCATCTCAGTCCTTCACTGGGTCTGCACTCCCCAGCTGGGGAGGGGGCATCCAGCCAGCCCCAGGAAGGGCCCAGGGCCAGGGGACGGTGCCTCATGGCTTGGGAGCAGGAGAGAAAAGATAATTCCCTTATGGGAACAGAGCCACTGTTGTTTAAAATGGACCACACTCTGCTTGACAAATATTGCAAGAATTTGCAGATTTTCCTTTTTATAAATCCTCATGTCTGCAGAGCCCACCCCAGTACCACATGTTTCCTGTTTTCCAGCACTTGTTCCTGTCACAGCTGGCACCAACCGCTCTGCAGGCGCTCCAAAGAGCCCACCTCAAGCCCAGCTGCAGAGCCTCAGGGGAGGGAGGGCCACAGAAGCAGGGCTGGAGAGCCAGCCGGGCCCTTGGATTTTCAGCAAGTGCTGCTGGCACACGGCTGCCCGAGGCCCTCAGGAGCCCTGCACACAGCCGCCTAATAGCCCACGCTGCCCAGTGCTGCTTGGCAGCCACGACAAATGCCAGTTAAAGACCCACAACGCTGCCCTAATTACACCCTCCTCCCCAGGTGGCCAAACAAGTCCTCAGTCACTGCAGCCACTCCATCCAGCCCCTGTCCTGGGAGGGGGCGCAGCCTGGCGTGTGTCGCTGGTCTGCGAATTCAGTGAGCCGAACAGACAGAAGGACAGACAGACAGTTCACCTGGACACTTCAACATGGTCCCTCCCCAGGAGTAGAAGCACTTGGACCAGGCGCTCCAGCTGTGGGTCTCTTTAGCAAGAACTGCCTATGACTCATAAGTGAACACATAATTAGCCTGGAAGCCCTGGGCTTTGTTGGTTGGTGGGTTGGGACTTTTTTGGTTTAATACTATCATTCACATTCCCTAAACACGAGGTACCCTGGGAGGAGACGCCTTCTTATTTCAATGCCACGGAGCAAAGCTTCTGGAAAGAGCCTGGGAGACAGATGTCCTACTCTGGTCTTGACGCTAAGTTGGAGTGTAAGTTTAAGTAAATTCTCCAGGCCTCAGTTTCCTCCCCCATAAAGACTTCCAAGGTCCCTTGGCAGCTCTGATATCTTCTGACCAGAGACAGAAAGGAGATTTGGCCTGAAGCCCCTCCATTCTCTTCATCCTCCCTTCCCTATAGGTCATGCTGAACTGCCAGCAGTGTCATCTGGCCCAGCCCCACCTTCATGCCGAGGCTTGAGGAACTCATACCCATCTTCTCAGGCCCACCTTGTTTCAAAAGTTTTCCACACAGGGCAATCCCACCTAATTGGCGCATCTTCACATAGCCAATAGCCGTTTCATGGGATCCAGGAGCTGAGAGGGGCCTTAGGAGCCCTCTAAGGACCAGAGTTCTGCCCCCTCCCACTGGACCTGGGGAAACTGAGGCCCAGAAAGGAGATCTCCCTCCCTGGCCTGTGCCCTCTCTCCACAGAGATCTCCCTAAACATGGCCCCATCTGAAGTGAGATGTTGCCCAGTCCAGCTGAGGGAGACGCCAGGTTCGGAATTGTTGGGAGGGTGTTTCCCCCACAGTCAGTGTTGGCCTCAGTCAAGCTGCTCACCACTAGTGCTCGGTCCACTGGATCGGTAGCCACTGTCTGATTGACAAGCTCAGAGCATCCAGATCTCCCCAGCTCACTAAACAGGGAGTAACCACGCCCTCCCCCAGATCAGTCCATAAAAATCACCTGGAAGTGCCTGGGAAGCTTACTTAATAGAAGTGACCTCATAGCATTGCAGCCACGAAGATTAAATGAGTTCATATAGGGAAAGCATGCAGACTCATTCTCGGTACAAAATGAGCACCCCATAAATGTTACTTACAATTACTGTTCATTCTGCTGTTGAGTAAAATCAGGCTTTCTGGAGGTCTACCCACAGAGATCTTGATCCCTAGGTCTGGGTGGGGCCCAGGACCCTGCATGTTTAACAGATTCCCCAAGTGACTCTGATGCAGGTGTCCACAGCCCACATTCAGAAGCAGCACTTGAGGCCTAGACTGGCTGGGACACCCCGCTCCTGACCTGCGTTATTTACTGCCAAGAACAGAGAGATCAGGGAGGCTGAAGGTCAGGCCACAGTCCTGGTCCAGCTCCCTCTATCAACACTTCCTCAGTGGCCCTTTCTGGATCCTTGTCGGAAATCTGGGGTTTGTGCTAAATTGAACCCAGTGATAGAGGCTGCTTCCAGAAGCAGCACTTAGAGCCCAGGGCATTAGAGGTGCGAGGGCCTTTTGAGACTATCTGATCAAACCATTTGGTCATTTTGTAGATGGGAAAACTAAGGGGCCCAGAGGGAGGAGGGGACTTGCTCCAGATCACACAGTCAGTTGAAGATTCCTGACACCCAGAACAGGGCTCTACCTTACTGTGGAGCTTGGTGAACCCCTGAACCTTATCAGGAGGCTTCAGGACTTGTCGCGCAGTACTTGGAAGTGGGGGAGAGATAGCTTTGCTCCTTGCATCCTAAAATGATCTCAGGCTCATATACAATCCACCCTTTGCTGCCCAGCATTATTAGCTATGGTCGAGGGCCTCTCCCAACTCCCAGGCTGCATGGTTTGAGGGATGTTCTTCCTTAAGACTGCTTTGATGCTCATGTTTTCTCAGTTTCACCTGAGTGGCCTGGAAGAGTGGAGGGAAGGAACAGAAGGGGTCACCAGAAGGGGTTGATCCCGTAATCTCAACACAGAGCCCCATTCAAGGCTCTACCCCAAACACGAAGCATCCTGGAGCCCCAAGGGAAGACCAGACACAACCTCATCCCCCACCTGGCTCAACTGTGGACCCATCTCTCATGGTCCTTCAAAGCCAAAATATCGTTCTTTTGTTTAAAAAAGAAAATAAGCAAGAAAAAGCAAGTTCTTTCCAGCCCCAGGGTTAGGGGAGGCAGGGCTTCCTGCAGAGGCCAGAGCAGGGCTGTAATTAGCTTGCAAAAACCACAGGAGATACTGACAAACTTGCCAGCAGAGAAGGGAGAAGCTGGCACATGGGACTTTTATGAAAGAAGCCATGGCTAGAGCCCCCTTCCCAGGGTAACACCTGGGGGCTGAAATTAGATGGAAATGGATCAGCCTCTCATCAAAGCATCTTGGAAGCAGTTTCTAAATCCTGTGTCTCAAAAGCCCAGGGAGACAGTGAATCCAGAAGCTGCAGCCGATCTTTAGTGGTCAGGATTTAGGGAAGCAAATTGCCATGTGTAAATCACAGCCTCCGGAGTGTTCGCTGGCAGGACCAAGCTGGGACAGCTTGTCTCCCATTTCTCCTTGTTTCTCCACATCTGTATCGACTCCCACCCACGCCCCAGCATGCCTCCATTTACTGAGCAAGCCCAGGTACTGTCCCCCAGCCCTGGGAGTGCCTTCTGTGCCCTGACTTTCTGCAGGGTCTGTTTAGAACTCTTCCCCTGGCCCCGACCTCTCTCACATGCTTGTCTCATCACGGCAGAGCCCGCCCGGCTGACTCAAGACCACAGGCAAATGGGACTGTCTGGCCCTGAATGCACCCCAGATGTGCAGTTGATGCAGAGTGGAAGAAGTGACAGCCATCAGAGAATTTCCAAATTATGGAGACCGTGGCACCAACACATCTGGGAGCCACCTGAGAAACGGTGACATAATCCCAGATAATCCTAAAGGAGATGCTGGAGTGCGACAGACAGGCATCTAGCACCTTCTGTCTGAATGACATGTCATCCAAGAGAGAGTCACAGCCTGCCCTGAGGGAACACATTTGGCTCGAGAAGTAGACTGGCTCTCTCACACTTTGGCCTGGGTGGGACATTCTAGAAAAGATCTGGTTTTCCACAGCTGGTGCCTTGGCCCCACTCCTGCCTCTGCATTTGGGCGGAGATGCTGGTAAAGGTACAACAGTCACAATTTTAAATGCACGTGCTGCTCATCACATATTCATCTCCAGCCTTGACTCTCCCTGCTCAAAGCCGGCAGCTTCGGCCATGCCCCGACACCTCTGGCTGGTAAGAGAGGAAAGCTGCCAGAATGGGTCGCCTAAGCCACGCACAGACTTAGAACCAGGAATAATTCTGAGTCCACAGCTGGATTCCAAATTGGAAATCCGAACCAGGCACCAGCCCATCTGCTGCAGTCGCTTTTGTAGCAACTATAAGTCTATGAAAAGAGAACAGAGCTGTCGCCCGGGAAGCCCCCATTGGTCCTGGACAGACCCAAATGCAGGGCCACTGGTGGCCACCACAGTAAGGGCAGGGGAAGAGGCTGTGGGTTCCAATAACCTAGTCTTAAAAAGAGAAACTCCTCCCCCAATGGAGCCAGTATCCAGAAAGAGGTAAACTTGATGGGCAACCGGTGTGATACTGTAATCAACTTTCAATGCATCTTGCCCGTCCAAAACATCTTCTCAGCACCCTAGCTTGACATCAAAGGACCGGAAAGGTAAGTGGAGCAGCAGGCTGGTCAGGGATCCGCAGAGGGGGCTGGTGGCCCCAGGCTCGCTGGGCAGTGGGAGGACGGGCTCAGCCCCTCCAACGCAGGCTCCACTTGGCCGTTCTGCGCACAGCCCCCGGCACCCTGCCAGCCCTGCCCCAGGGAGCAGGGTCAACAGAAAAAGGGGAGGGAGGCTGGCCAGGTTCTTCCAGGCGGGTCGGAGGGAGGAGGAGGCAGGAGGCCAGCGTGCCTACTTACCAGCAGCTCGGCGCCCGCCCGCCCGCTGTCGACCAGAGGGAGCCCGAGAGGAGGACGCTCAAGGCTGCAGCATGAGTGGGGCTCGCCGTGCGCGCCCCGTATTTAAACGCTTCCTGGCGTGAGTCACCGCAGGGGGCAGTGTCGGCGCGGTGGCGGGGAGGGGCGACGCGCCCGGACAGACGGCACAACGGACGGACGGAGGCACAACCTGCCTGCTCAAGGGGAAGGGGTGCGGAACGGGTGTTCTTCTGCCACGTTTTTTTTTTAAAGAACACTTTTTCCTCTTTTAGCCGATGTTTCTTTTGGCTTCACTCGCTGCATTGGCCGTTGCGGCTCTAGAAAAGGCATTCATTCTTGTCTTTTTCCTTGAAAATTTTATTCGGAAGTAATTTCAAATTTACAGAAAATTTGAAAGAATAATACAATGAACACTCTTATTTGCTTGAGCCAATTCACCTAGTGTTAACATTTTGGAAAAAGCATTTATTTTAAATTCCAAGGAAAGATAAAGTTACCCCCAGGTTGTCCCTCCTAAAAACAATGTTTCTGTTCCCTTGTGACATCATCCTCTGTCCCCTCACTGCCCCCTCCCTGGGTGGGTACACACGACAGTCAAGGGGCATATTTGAGAATGAGGGGCTCCCTGTGTCCTTCACTTCTGCATTGAGGCCCAGCCCTGCTGCCCCTGTTGGGGGACAAGAAACCGTTTCTATTCGTGGTATCACCCGGAGGGTCTGGGGAGGAGGAGAAAGAAGTCAGAGCTGGAGGGGCGGGGAGGCTGCCAACTCCCAGCTTCGCCTTAAGATGGAGCCTCAACAACCGTGAGCTGCACTGGGCTGAGCCACTTGCCCTTCCCTGACTCAGTTTACCCTCTCAGCCAAGTGAGGAGAGTGATATTTACACACAGTGCCTCGTGGAACGCCAAGAGCCTTAATTAATGTTTGCACCGGGCTTTGAGATCTGCGATGAAAGGAAGATATAAAAGTGCGTAGTGTTATTACTGAAATAGTCATTGGGGTGGCTTGCCATGGTCCAGCCCTACAGCCTGAATCATGCCACATTCCTCATCACCAGGGCACCGTGATTCACAGGCAGAAACAAAAGTGCCCTGTCCATTAGGTGACACGAGCCCAGGAGGGGTAGGCACGGCTTGAGTGAGTCTCCGCACAGCTCCCAGCCCCATCTCTTCAACCACCAGCCTCCCTGCCAAATAATATTCCATGTGGAATGCCCTCCCTCTACTACCTGGCACCTCCACATCCCACAATGGGGGGTCTTCAACTGCCTTTCCATAGAACCTGCAAGAATAAGAATGCCCTCTTTGCCTTCTTTCCTTCCCCCATAATCCTAACATTCAGCCACTCTGTGCTGGGGGCTGTGGACCACATGAGGAGGAATCAGATACTTTTCTTTCCCATGAAGAGCTGACACTCGGGGGAGGGGGAGGGAGGATGAACATTCATGAAGCACCTTCTGTGAACCAGAGAGCCCCCAGGTACTTTATTACCTCTATACATTATTTCATCTATACCAGGTGTCTCAGCCTCGCCACTATTGACATTTGGGGCCAGAGGGTTCTTCGTTGTGGGGAGCTGTCCTGTGTATTGTAGGATGCTTAGAACAGCCCTGGCCTCTACCCACTAGATACCAGTAGCGTCCCTCCCAAGTTGTGACAACCAAAAATGTCTCTACACATTGCCAAATGTGCCCTGAGGAGTCAACACACGCACATATACGTGCATACACACACACACACACACACAATTGAGAACCACTGATCTACCAAATAATCCTGTGATTGGGAATAACTGCCCCCATTTTACAGATAGGAAAACTGAGGCCAAGGGCAATTAACTAATTTCCTCGAGTTCACATGCTAAGTGACAGAACCAAAATTCAAACCCCAGACGGTGGATTGTGTGCTGTTTCCACCATCGTTGTGTGCTCAGATGCACGTAACTGCTAGAGATAAAAGCGTGGCTGTGTTTAGGTTGGTGCAGAGTTAGGATTGTGAGAGGACAAAGGGAGTGAGTCCACTGACAGAACCTTCCTTGGCATACTGTTGATAAATGTGGGTGTGTTTGAAGGGATAGGGCTTGAGTTTCATATAGAAGATGGCCTTAAAAGATGAGCAGGATCTGGAAATGTCGTGGAGGGAATTAAGGAAAATCATTGAGTCAGAAAAAGGGGACAAGGCCCTCGACCAAACACAGGGTTTGGCTGGAGCCCAGGGTGTGTCACAGACCTCACTGGAGAGGGCTGGGATGCCTCCCTGAGGACTGTGATGTCCCTCTACAGGTAGTAGGGAGCCCTGAAGGTTTAGGAGGAGGAGAGAGGCACAGTCAGGCCCACACTGCAGGAAGTGTAGTATGGCAGGGTTTCCAGGTTCCACGGAGGACCCTTTGGTGTCTGCAGGGCACACAGTTTCAAAGCATTCCTATCATCCTCTTTGGTCCTCAAGACAGGACGTGGGTTTCAATACGGTAACCAGGCCCTGCAGGAAGGACCAGTTCCCCAGACTAAGGGTGGCTGTATGGATCCAGCTACAGGACCTCCAAGTTTCAGCTTACTGAGACTCCCCTTTCATGGGGAAGCACATTCCCTCCGACAGAGAAAGCAAAATGGCCCCAGTCAGCCCCCAAAAGTGAGATCTATTATTGGGGAAAGTAAAAGCTTGATTCACCACCCACAGGCCCTGTAAACTACAGGGTGCACTTTCCAGCCCCCTTGGGGGAACCAGAAGGGCCAATGTTGCCTCAGGGCTTCAGGGAACTCTGATTCCTCCCACCCGTGCATGTTTCTCTAGTCTAGTTAGTAAGCAGAGAATCCAGAGAATGGGAGGCTGTGTGAGCTAGCCTCCCCACTGAGGAGGAAATCCCTCGACAGCACCCTCGAGAGACGGAGTTCTGACCCTGCTTGGTCCACTCCACAGATGGGGAAGTCAGTACCGCACGATGAAGTCCCCCTGGTAGACCAGCAGAATAAAAGGACGGAGAACACCCAGCGTTGGCAAGGACGTGGGTGGTCTCACGCACCGGTGATGGGAATGTAAACAGGTAGAACAGCAGCTATTGGAACTCAAAATGTGAAAATCCATTGAGCAAGGCCAGCGCCACATACGCAGACACGAGCGTGTATGTGCACAAAGCTACACACTCAAGAATGCTCAGTGCAGCAGTGTTTGTGATAACAGATCACTGTAAACAGCATGACGCCCGTCCATAAGACAAGGATGCCATGCATCATGAAAACTCGACCAAATAGCCAATTTAGAGAGATGGGATACATCTTTATTTGCTGAGAAAGAAAAATATATCTGATGTATTAAGCAGATTAATAATATATATAATATAATTGCACTTACTGGTTTTAGGGGAAAACAAACCATAAATGTATAACTCCTCAGCTATATTTCAACATACGAGAAATATAGTAAGGAAAACAACCTCATGATTTGTGGATCATGATCACACAAGAAGCCAGAAGACAGCACAAAACATCAGCTTTCCCATGGAATGGCCCTTCGGTGCCCAGGCAGTCAGCCTCAGAGGGGTGCCCAGGGCTCTTGTCTCCCTGTCCCCCACTTCTCTCCTTCCCCAGGTGGCCCTGCTCTGCTCTCACCTGCGGCTCCCCTCGCAGTGGCCCAGCTGTCTGGGAGGCTGAAGAGCCCCGAGGCCCCACGTGTTTCCTGGCACATTGCCCAGGCCCGGGCTGTGCTCTGAAGGAAGGATTCTAGGTTGTTCCTCAGAATAATGACTCTCAAAGACAAAAGGCATCCCTTTCGCTCATGCAGACAGCCTCTCATAACAGGACTGCAAAGGAGTACACCACTGCCTAAGTCTCTGTTGATTTACTCAGTTTTATAAGAAACCTTCCCCAACATAGAGGAGGAACAAGAAAGAATAGTGCAGGTGAGAAAATTTCATCCATATATATACACACACATATATCTTTGTCTATATCTATACGGTCACGCATCACTTAACGACGGGGACATGTTCTGAGAAATGCGTCGTTAGTTGATTTCGTCGTTGTGCAAACATCATAGCGTGTGCTTGCACAAACCTAGATGGTATAGCCTGCTACACACCTAGGCTGTATGGTACTAATCTTATGAGACCACCGTCATACCTGTGGCCCGTCATTGACCAAGACATCATTATGTGGCACATGACTGTATATAAATGCTTAGAAAAGGATCTGGAAGGATACACTCAAAACTGGTATAGTAGTGAGAGGAGGGAGCAGTGATGAACGAGGATTTTTTATAACAGTGCGTTGTTTTACATTCCATTTAAGTAAAAATGCATTCCTGAATTGCATCTAATTGATAATTAGAACAACCATTTTAAAAGACAAAAAACAAAGTTCTATTTTTTTAATTCTTCTCTTTATTACACTGAAAGCTGCCTCCCCGGAACCTCCACCAATGGGTTCTCTTCCCTTCTTCAGGCCCCATTGTGCCTGCCCTTACCGGTGGGCCAGCCCCTCCAACGTTTGGGACCCATGAGCAGGCCCACCCCATTCCAAAGCCTCCCCTCTCCTGTACCTTCAGACATGTCACACAGCCCCTTCCCTCAACCATCCTGGCTGCTCTCCATGGAGGCCCAGGATTCGCCCAGCAAACTGAGCATTCAGTAAGTGGCAGGCCCTGGCTAGGTGCTAGTATACAGAAGTGAATTCATTCTGAGAGGGACACAAACACGTGAACAGTCATATTCAAGTGTAAGGATGCATGAGATGGGGCCACACAAGGGAGCCACCAAGCCTGCCTGGGCCATGTGAGGAAGTCTTCCCCAAGGTGGCCCTTGGACTAAGCCTGGTAAGTTGAGCAGGTGTTTGGGTGCTCTGGGAAAAAACAGATAGCATTTGCAAAGGCTCAAAAGCACAAAGGACCATGGTACATTCAGCAGGTGACAAATAGTTCAAGATAACCAGAGAGCAGGGTGCATGTGAGATCTTTGTAGAAACACCATCCTGGGAAGAATGCAAGATGCAACGTATGAAGGTCTCACCAACTGGGACTCGTTTTGTAGGCCATGGAGGGCCCCAGAAGGGTTCAGCTGGGG